CTATGACCGACAACACTGTAAACAGCGTTTAGTTGTAATTAAAAATTTGTATAAACATAACCAAAAACATATATGTATATGTATATATAAAAAAAAAAATATTTACTTGAAGCATAAACAAATTATTAATTTTGGCGAATATTAAAAAAAATAGAACTATTAGAAAGCCAGTTTTTTTAAAAGCATACACCATAACTTGTCTACTATGAAGAAAAAAAGGCGTACACTTGTAAAAGCAAATTGGAGTCTGGAAGTTTGGCAAACGGAAGCACACAAATGCTTACACCGTTTAGAACGTTCGACGGTTATAAGTATCGAAAATCGTTTCTTTGCATATTGAACGGCACATTGGGTATATGTATTATGACGAAATGCATATCAAATATTGAAGTATTTGCTGTTACATGTGTGCATATGGAAGTGTATATGTATGAAATTATTTGATTTCGGTTCTTAACCTCAACTTTATATCACAAAAGTATAAACTATCAAACATTATTATAATAAATATATAAACACACACAAAATTAGACTCGAAACACACACAATTGCAACGACCAATTTGTTTAGAATGCTTGTTGTTTGTTTTCTTTAGTTTTTGTTCTAATTTAAACTAATAAAATACCTAAAATTGCAACAATCATTATTTTGAATACGCATTACCGACATCCTGCACATTTATCGTATAAAAATACTGCACATTAACTCATTCCCTCTCATATTAACTACTTAGCGCATATATATATTACAATACACAATTGACGACACGTTTTCTTTATACATATATATATGTATAAACAATCTGACTTTTTTTTTTTGCTTAAATTGTAGCTTTTACATAATCGCTGCAGTCAGATAGTACAGATCCATAAGCATTTGCACATTAATTGGCAAACACGAGAGACGATCGTGTGTATTGGAGTCCAATGCCAACCAGGACAAGGCATTGTAACCCTCCAACACGAAACGCAATACATCGGCAGTGAGTGAGGAATCCAGTGGATGATCTATGGCTGACGAATGCGCATTTGTCGAGTTCAGTATATCGTCGGCGGTCTGTATGTTTGGCACGTGGAGATGCAATGCCGTCTTCAAGAATACAGGACAAACATCTTCCAAATGCGGGCAGGCTGCCCAAAACCAGGAAGGCATGCGTCCAGTTGGCGCTGTAGAAACCATGTAGCCGACGGCTAGCGGTTGCTGATTTATTGAGCCCACCTACAAAGACAAAATAAATAATTAGCTTATTAATACACTATAACTATTGTAATGAGTGAGTGAAATGACCTCTTCAACATCCTGCTGCTGTGTCGAGTTGAAGTTATTGCCACCGGCACTCGGCCAGCTGCGATTATCTTCCATGCGATCGGGACTGCAGTGATTCGATAAGCGACCAGGTTGAGCTAAAAAATAGTTAATAAGTGGTTGTGTGAGTTTACGTTGTTTCAAAAAACAATAATAATAAAATAAACTTGTATATTGTATAATATAAAAGTTTGCATACAAGAATTTGATTTTGAGCTATCAGTTTGTATGGCAACTATATGCATTAGATGTCCGATCTGAACAATTTCTACTGAGATTACACAATCGCCTTAGACAATAACCTAATCCAAAATACGTTGTTGTTGTTGTAACTTCTATAGGTACGCTGCTTGATTTTGGACGTTACAAGCTTCGCGGCAAACTTAATAAACCCTATTCAAGATATAAAAAGAATACTTACGATCCCAATCAAGCAGATCACCCATGAGCTCAGCATCAGTGAAGCCGCCATTTTCGTCATCGTCATCGAATATGATATCATTTTCCAAATCTACTTGTGGCTCATTTTGAAATTGACGTGTAAATGACTGTAAAGAGGCGGAAACATATTTATCATAAATATTTTTTAAAATACAAAAATTTAGATTGCTTAATGTGTGTTATGGATTGACGATGACTTACCAAGCAAACGGCACTTGTCGGGAATACTAGTATGTGTGTGCATGTTACATCTTGTGGAGTGGATAGCGGATTCTGCATGGAAATCTGCGAAAACCGCTCGTCCGGCGTGAATTGGTCAGGCATTACGCGCAGTTTTGAATCTGGCTCCAACGTCACCAGGCAGGCGCTGAGTATACCAGGTGGATACATGAAGGAACATTGCTTACAAATATCCTTTAGTTGCTTGGAAGCTTTCTGTAGATTTTGTTTACTCAACAAAGAACTCCATGATTTTAGTTCGCTGTGACCGATGCGCCCAATACGGCCCACAACCAGCCGCCAATGATGCGCTGTCTGTGAGATCAAACCCATTATGAAGTCCATCAGCTTCTTGAGTCCAACACGTCGCGCCGGCGCCTTACGTCTACGCACACGATTCGGTACGTCAATATTGATGATGATCTTTTCAAACATCTCACCACGATCATCGGTGACGGTCGCGAGCAACCAACTCTGATCTTCACTCAGACAATAGTTGCAATACATGACCGAGTACTTTTGCTCATTTAGTGCGCGCATACTGGATGATTGGCGAGAGAAGTCTGTCTTGTCATTTTTCTCATGCATTGGCGCCAATACATACGGCGGTGTATACATTTTGTATGGTTGTCGGTTCTTGTCGTCTTTGCTCTTCAGGAATGCTTCCATATTGGCGGCTGTGCCGAAACCAGTCAGACTCTTCACGGCCTGCGTGTGCACCATATGTCGACGACACTGCGAGAATATGTTCAAAGCCAAGCAACGAATTTCGTCGGAGAAACGTTTTCGTGTACGCGATCGACCCAATTCAACTATCGATTCCAACGATATGATTTGAATATTGATATTAGCACGTACCGAATCCGGTATGGACTTTAATAGCTCAGCATAGCAACGCAACAAAGCTATACAAGCTAAACGCTCCAATTCTGGTGAGTCCGAACCGAATGTGAAAGGTTCAACTACGTAGAGCACAATTGCCGGTGGGTTTACATCTTCCATTGTTTCACCCATACCCAAAGGATCGCTAAGTACAATTGGTGGTTTTGTGTCGGGTTTGATGTCTGGCTTCATGTCGATCGATTCGGCAGAATTCTGTTGTTGTTGTTGCTGTTGATGTTGCAATTGCTGATGTTGGAGTTGCTGTTGCTGTTGCTGCTGTTGTTGTTGATCCATACCCTCCATCTTGGGCGAGGTATGCGTTTTGTCTTGATCAACACCACTCACCGAACTGTGTATCGAACTCATGCTACCCATTGGACTAGTGGTGCCTCGTTCGCGACCTGCTCCTGGTTGACAACTGCTATTCTCAGGTGGATTAAGCAACGTCTTGTCGCTGGGCACACGATTGAGGTACGGCGCTATTTGATTATGAAACGCGCTCGCATACAGTCGTATTTTTTCGGCTATAACGGTATTATCTAAGGTGCGCAACCAATCGTCCAGTGGCGTGCTACTTGGTGTATTATCTGAGGGTGAACGTGGACCCACCGTCAACAAACCATCCCAACCGCGAATGGGCGTATGACGACCCAACTTACACATTTCATACGTAGAACTCAATTCTCTGAAATATATTCGCGTATTCTGCACCACAAAATCAGTTTCCGGACACACAACCAGATACACAATATCACGCGCATACGCATAGGGTTCCAACAGAAGTTTGTCCCAATAGTGTATGGCTAGTGGTGCTACTGAAACCCAATCCTTGTCATGTCCAACTATCACCGATGGTATCGGTTGGGGTTCGCATTGACCAGAAGCACGTCCAGCCAAGCGATGGAACTGTCGCCAGGTCAATGGTCCGCTTACTGTGTAAGTAGCATCTTTGCTGCCCGCCGCACTGCGAGATTTCGAATGGAATGCATTTTGCAACATTGGTTGTATAAAGTTCATGGTGCGCACAATCTCTTTGTTACTGCGTGAAAATCCAACTGGAATGTACGGCCACTTATGCACTGTTAGTCTGCCACCAAAGAGTTGATGATTCCGTTTGGCCGCGCCAGGACGGCTATGGTCGAAAGGTGAAAGCTGGTTTTGGCTGGAAAATTCATTCACATCCATACGATTACTTTCAAAAGCTAATCTCGCCTGCTCAAGTGCCAAACATATTACATCATTCGCATCGACAAATTCTAACACATTGGAGATGGCAGCCACCGATTGTGGTTGTCGGCTTTGTCGAGCTAAACGATGTCGGTGACGTTGTAAAGCTCGGTGTACTGCACTGCTAGACGTTTGTATGATGGAACATTGCTCAAGTAATAAATCAAAGATGACGTGCGCATGTTGGAGTGCTTGCGCGTCGGGCTGTACGTGGTTAGCTTTGTCTGCTTGTGCAGGTAACAATGAGTTAGCGCCCTTAATGGCTAGAGAGGATGTCAATTTCGCAGCAGTTGGCGTGAGAGCAGCCGCCAAATTTGCTATCAGGGAAGGTAAAGACTGTTTCTTATTACGGGCGGGATCTTCGGCAACACCCGTTATCTCCAACTCATCCTCGTAAAAGAGACCAGCTCGAAATGCAAGTCGTCTATTGACTACAGCACTAAAACCGCAGGTACAATCTACCGGATCGTCGTCCACGTACCCCGTAATATGTTGATTGCTGGCGGGTGTGTTCGAAGATGAAGATGAACCTGAACCCGTGTGCCCCGATGTTCCGGGCAGCGATGCTGGTGAATCCAAAGCACTGCCACCGCCAAAGGCACTTAACAGGCGCATGCTTCCTGCGGCAGCTCCACCACCACCAATACCGCTATTTCCGCTGATGCCGGCAACAGCTGGGTTCCCGCTTGCATTTGTAGAAGGCGGTAATGGATTAAAGCTTCCACCTGGCAGAGGCACGTAAACACCTGAATCTGCACCACGTATGTTACCCACTTTCTGAGAATCCGCATTACACACACAAACGGTGCTGCTATCGAAATTGTGATCTCGAAAGACATTCAACGCTGTGTCGTATAGCAGAATATTCACGATCAAAGAGCTAACTTCGGGCAACTCACGCGCCACCACGGCGCCAGTCGCAACACCGGCGGATGGCAGATTACCCGCTGCGCTTAACGGTCTAGGAAGATGTGTTGAAGGCATACCAACGCTTTGCGGTGTTGGAGGATGCTCCTGCGAATGATACTGTTTATTCAAATATGAGGATGTTGAGGTGGCTGGACTGGCCACAGCCATTTCATAAGGTGGCGGTGGATGCCGTTGTGGTTGCATCATGGGAAACGGTACCACCGAGGCGGGTGATGGTGATATCGGTGACATGCCGGCGCGTTGCATCATTTGCTGCATACTCGTGCTGCCGGGCGTATTTGTGAGTGCTGCCTGCGGACAGTTTAGTTGATTCAGCAAAAGATTATTTCCACCGCCGACGCCACCACCACCACCACTGCTCAACGGCGTGGGCACTGTGTTGGAGTGCATTGGTGATGGTATGGGTCCCAAAGGTGTGCGAGGTTGCTGCAGCGGTGTGCGCGGCGCCGCTGAGAGTAATTCGTGTAGTTGTTGATGTTGTTGTTGCAGTTGCTGTTGTTGCTGTAACTGTTGTTGTTGCTGCTGTTGCGCTGCCGCAGCTTGAGCAGCAACCACAGCACGTGATTTCTGTGTTGTCCATGATGGTTTGTACGTGCAATTTGTTGGTAAAGCCAGTGGCGGCAGCGTTTGACTAGGTAGGTTTGTTAGAGGCGCGTATTTGGATGAGCCCACAAACTTTGCACGCTTCGGCGGCCGATAAACATATGACCAGTCTTCAATTGGCTCTTCAACGGGGCTACCCAGTTCGGCAAAATATTCTTGTTTGATTTTAATCATACCGCCCATACCGGCATCCAAGCCGCCCGATATTGCTGTTGCTGCTGTAATTACACTGAGATCCGTCATTTGGATGTCCATTTGGCACGGGCTGGAATTAGGATGGTGCTGTTCATGTGATGGTGGTGTAGGAAACATCTTAGTCAGATCTTCCGCCATACTGGAACCGCCGTTGCCGCCACCATTACTGCTACCATTATTACCTATACTATTCGAGGCATTCGGTGTATTCGTGCAATTTTGCAACGCAGCGATTGCGACCGCACTTGCGTTCACAGCGGCAGCAACTGCAGTGCTGCGCTTAAGATCATCAATTGTGGTCGTTGCGGTAGAGCCATTGGATGGGTTGTTCGAGTCGGGCGGTGTATGTATTTGTACGCTGCCGCAGCCATCGTTTGATGTTTCAAATAGCTGCTCAAGATCATTCATTGTTGGGTTTAAGCCTTCAGCGGTATACAGATCACCACTGGCACTGTTTTTGCCATCTTTGCAAGGCGAAGCTGTCCCCTGTAGCGCATCTGTGGTTTGTATGTCGAGCCCGCGGAAATAACCGCCGCCATTACCATTGCCATCACTACCCACATTTTCCTCTTTTATATTTGTCAAATTACCACAATGCGCGGCTATGCCCACCAAACCGCCACTGCTACTACCACTCGCAGACGCCGCGTTCATGGCGGAATTAGTAAGCGAATTGAGGGAAGCATCTATAGAGAGTAGCTGCGAACCATATACGGAGCCCGGTGACGGCATAAGCGGTTTCGAGTGAGTATGACCTTCGTAGAGATTTTTGGTACACATGCTGCGACACGGTTTGGTCACATCGTTGAGCTTGAAACGTTTCATTGGATGATTCGCCCTAAAAGAGTAAATTGAAAGTTAATTGATGTTAAGTAATGCAAATAAATTTGTAAGCGACTGCAATTTATAGGAAAAAGTTGCATGTATAATATATTTTGTGCGTTTATCATTTGTGCAATTTATACTCTCACTATGGAATATAAAACTGTTATTCAGAATACATTAACACTGGCTTTTGTTTATCTTAGAGTCTAAAGATAGAAATATGCATAAACTGAACTGCAATTTCCCCTAAGAACTCTGTAAAGTATAAGTAAGGGCGTTTTAAAGCGGTTCAAAAAACACTCACCAAGCATTCTGATACGTGAAATCATACAGTACATTATATTTTGAGCAGTCATCATTGGCGAAACTATCGATATCCTTTACTTTAATTTCTGGCATCTTAAATGTTTTCCAATAATCGTTGATCGCATCTGCCGCCGATATGCCAGACGACGTGGAAACCACTGGCAGGCCATTTCGACTACCGCTACCCGACAATGGTGTCGGCGCATAACCCGCTTCGGTTTTAATTTGATCAACACTTAGTGTGGTCAATGACGGTTGTTGTATCTCGAATTTCTTAATGCTTATAGTGCCACATTGGGAACCACCCGAAACCGTTGTGCCCATAGTTTGTGCTTGTAACTGTTGTGAACCTTGTTGTTGTTGCTGCTGCTGCTGTTGTTGGCCGCTTATAGTCGGAGTGCTACGCCCGACACTTGGTGGTTGTGGCACGCTGCCAGGTCCATTTGGTCCCACGCCAGTCACGCCACCGCCACCATTACCCGCCTCAACAGAGGGTGGCGGCTCTACGCTTGGCGTAGGCCGCACATAGGGCGATGTTGTGATACTTTTATTATCATGCTGATCGGTGGGTGTGGGTGCCGGTGTATTCTTGTCCAATAGATGATCAATCGGTGTTGGTGGTTGTTGCAAATTCGGTACGGATGGTGGTGCACGTGGGCTCATTGTTAACAACTAAGCGAGAGAAGCAAAAATATAGTTAATATATATTTGAAAAATATTTGTCGGTAAAGCAAAAGTGTTAAAAAGAATTAGTATAAACCTCAAGCACTCACTTGATCGGCCGGTGGTACAGACGTTGGCTGTGATAGCGTTGAGTTCGGATGGGGCGATTGTGCGGGTGTACCAGGCGAACCCACTGAGGGCACAGGCATCAAGTCGCCCACAGAGTTCCGCGAATAAGTTGAAGCGCCGCCGTGCGGTGTGTCGTGCGGCGTCATCGATGCGGGATTCAAAGTTCTGTAAACAAAAATTGCATAACATAAAAACTAGTTTGGCATCAAAATTCAATTAATTTATTATGATTTCGTTTTTTAGCAAAATGTACGCTATTTATGTACATATGTTTGTTGGTATGCTGTTATACATTCAAACACCTTCCTAAACTGATTTTTAAGAGTTTTGATGTACGATTATTAATATTGTAAAGAGTATATATGCAAATGTTCAGCTACAACCATACAGCTTTTTATATAGTATGGAATATTCGATTTGTATGTGTCTTAACTTTGTATTCATACAATTATTAGAGCAATATTTTGTTCTTGACCAGCATTATTGTTACAATTTGTTTGTGTGCATTATGGCGGTGATAAATTCAAATTAAATTAATATTCAATACTCAATGCATGACCCCAAACCATAGCCAAGTATTCATTAAACTTGTATAATATACATATTTCTTTTTATATTAACACATGCTTAATAAATAATACAACTGAGTATAATTATATGTAATACGAATTATTTCTCATTAAGTTTACATGCAAATACCGTGCCCATCACTCGACTGTTAGGCAAGTAACAAATTTTTTTGGCTTTCGAGTTTTAGGTATTTATAATAATGTTGTAAGTTTGTATTTGTGGCAAAAAATCGATTAAATAGTTATAAACAAGCCTTACATTTAACTTATTTTTGTTTATGCTTAGAACCAAAATCCTTTCGAAAATTCTAATTTGTTTATATTTGCAAACTTATATCAGCTGATCAAAGTTTACCCGGTCTGTCAAAAAAAAATTTTCACGTATTTTGAACAAAACTTAATTTTTCGCCTTCAAATAGTCTCATTTTAAGCATGCCAAGAATTTATCCAATTTTTTTATAGACATCTTGCAAGCCACTACTCGACGTTGGGTTTGCGAAGATTCAGGTATTTTGGTACGAGTTCCACATTCATACCCAAAACATTAACCGAAATACATTTGTTAAGCCCACATCCATAAGAATTGCTCTGTTATCTCTCTGACGACGATTTTCAACCACTGTTTGCTAATTTTTTTTAATGTTATCGTCATTAACAAAGGACAGATGGAAGATTCGCATGAAGCAAGTTTTCGACCTCCTCTGAATGTCTCGTACCCCTCAAATAGTTCTATTTGTAATAAAGTAGACTCAACAAAACACTCTTGCGACATATTTGTCGGTTGCGAAGCCGTGATTCCATTCGAAATATATTTATCGATTCGGTCTGCGCGTGCAGTTTAAATAGACCAGTCCGGATGAAATTTGATCAGATGATGTATTGATTTTAATATATTTAAAGGGAAGAAACTCTAATTTGTAAAGTCAGCCCCACTCACACTATTTGAACAAAATTTTAACTGTTTCACAAAAAACCAATGATATAAATAGGATTTGTGTTACACGAATTAAACCTACTAGAATATAAGACGAGCAAGTGAAACACTTAAGTTTAACCACTTTTTGAGCTAAAACTAATTATAACCTTATTTCTTTACATTTCTACGGATTCAACTTCACCAATACTACATATGTATGTATGTATGTTTGTACATATATGAATGCGCTTTTGTACAATCAAAATAAGTTCAGTATAGTGTAAAACTAAATATGAAATTCAGTTACTAATTTACAGAAAAATATATTGTGTAGTTGCATCATCATAATAATAGTTTTTAAAATAAAAATATATACACATATGTATATTTAAACTATATGTATGACTGCCAAAATTAGTTTTGTTATTTTCTGGGGAGTATGAATATGTTTCAACTTCACCAGCTTTTTTGCAAACATTAGCACCATAATCTTTTGAGTGTGTGAGAAAATAGCATTCTAATGAGTTCAGATATATGTGGGACCATAGCAGGCAAGTAATTGTGTAGGAGTTTGCAGTCCATTTCCAACCAACCAACCAAAAAACAAACAAAAAAAAAACACCATTAATAATGATATGGAACAGGATAAAGAGCAAGAGCAAGTGTATACATGTTGATAAGAGAATAACTGCGAGTAAGAGCGTGAGGTGATAAGAGAGTGTGAGACAGCGAGAGAGAAATACAGAGAGAAAGAGAGAGAGTGCGACAACACAAACCTTTGCTTTGGTATGGTGTCTGAAGTTTGATAATGCATAATAGTGATGCCATTGGAAGCAGCAGCTGCGGCAGCGTCTACTGTGTCCACTGCACCGTCAACGACGTCAAAGCAAACGCCACCGCCAATGTTTTCGCTACGACACCGCAATAGCGAACTGCATAGATTTGTATTCAAACAGTTACTGCCGCCGCCGCCGCCGCCGCCGCCAGTAGTGATGCTGTTATCGGTGCTGTATAAGTCATATTGTTGTCGCCGATGGAATGGAATACACACTGTTGTGCGAGATGTAATACTTTTTACATTGCTGTGGTATACAGACGAAGACGATGATGCTGTTGCCGTTGCCGCTGATGGCGACGAAAAGAATGTTGTTGGTGTAGCAGTACGATATTGTTGTTGTTGTTGGTGGCTATTGTTGTAGCTGTTGCTGCCGCTGCCGCATCCCGCCGAGCCGGTGTGCATTTTGCCACCCAATGCCATCATCATGCTGTTGCTCAGACGCACTGACGAAGCCGGCCCGGAAACACTATATATAGGGGATGTCATTGACAAAGAAGTAGTAGAAGCTGCATTGTTTTTGCTGCTAATAGAAGTAGTATGTGTGAGAACGGATAGTGTCGACGACGACGATGAAAGTCTGAAAATTATTGGCCAATTTTTTTTTTTTCTTTAAACTAAATATATCTTTTCTTTCCTATGCTCTCCCTAATAGTTTTCGTATTTACGTTTATATTGTAATATATTATAGAGATTTATGTGTTGTTAAAAAAGTCAGCTAATAAATTAATTAACTTTGGCACGCGAAATGTCCCGTAATCTTAAGAAAGCAGAATTCACATGACATTTCTATGGGTAAACATTTGAAATTTGAGGTTATAGTCATATTATAATCAAAAAGCAAATTAATATTGTTTGGGAAAGAGTAGTGTGTAAAATACAGAAGGTTTTTCATGCAGTACACATATATAGAAGATAAGCTAGAATCAAACGAGATAAATACTTGCAATAAACACTAGGAAACTTGTTTGTTTACTATCTCATGAACATTATGCGTTAAAATAAAAGTTAAGTTAAACATTTTTGAAGGTCAAATATTGTGAGATAAACAACGACTGAATCATAATAAATTAAATTTGATAGACACTTATGCGTTTTACTAACTCTTAACTGTAAGTGCTTCTTATCACATATGCCTACTAGTGACTTTTCAAATTTCATATTCAAAATCACAGATTCAAAAAATTTAGACACACAAGTAAATAACTGCAGTCATTCAAATTTAAGTAATACATTGCTTTGAGAACTTACTTTGTGCATGAACAGGGTGTTTTTTCCGTTGGATCAACAAATCCCCAAAATTGTATTTGCTGCATGCGTAGTTTGGCCTCCACTTCATTGGCGTCGCCGATTTTTGTGTTGGTATTTTGCGTGTCCATGGAACTACAACCGCCACTACTGTTGCCACCGCCGCCACCGCTGCCGGCATTGTTGTCATTGTTGCCATTATTACCATTGGTGGAATTACAATCCTCGCCACCTACTGTACCACTGCCTGTGGCAGTTGTGGTTGTGACTCCGCCGGTGGTAGTAGAGAGGGATGAACAAGTTATTTGAGCGCTTGTGGCGCCAGTACTCATTGCTGTGGCAGCAACGCTGGCCGCATATGTCACATGCAACGTATTCGTTATGCAATCCTGCCAAACGCGCTCTGGCATTTCAGTAGCCGCCTGTGGTGAGGCATGAGTATTAGTTGTGTTGCTAGTAAAGCTGCTCGTCGTAGTGTCATAGTAGGGCTGCGCTCTTGCCGACAGTTCATGCAAATGTTGCTCAATCATTGCAATACTGCTATTGCTGTTAATGCCATTACTTCCGCCAACCCCACTGCTGTTCGCTTGGCTACACGACGTGGCAACTGTTGTTACAGTAGTGACAGTGTGCATCTGCTGTTGCAGTTGTTGTTGTTGCAAGCTAGCGGGTTGTTGCGTAGATGTGGACTTTCGGCTGTTCCCTGCAAATTCATTTGTATTCGCAGATGAAATAGCCGCCAGTGCGGCAGCCTCCGCCGAAGATGTTGTGCCCAATGAGCCCTTTTGCGACGCAGCCTCTTCCATTTCCTCCATGTCATCCAAATCAGTGACTAGTACATAAATTGAGGGATGATACATTTTATGTCCGCCTAGACAGCAAAGAAAATGATACAAGATTTCAAAATTAGTATTGAATTATGAGAAAAAAAATATATATATTTACCCGACACAACTTCAACCACCGGTGGCACATCAGAGTTTTCCTTACAGCACAGTGGGAAAAATGATGCCCAATCTTCTAAGATCTTCTCGGCCATTGGATCCGTAGCTTTAAAACTATTGCCGGTTAGTGTTGCCGCCATACCAAATGGCGCTAGTATTACTCGTCGCGGCTTGGGTGTAGTGGAGGAATTCGGAGAGTTTGTGTTGGTGACACCGTCTCCCACAGCGCCGCCATTATTGGGGCTGTGTGGACTCGCCACATCTTCTGGCAAATTCGTTACATTGCCATGTTCATGAGATTGCGACAGTGTTTGCGAATTACCAGCGGCGGCAAAAGCCGCCGCCGCTTCAGTTAAATGCTCCTTTGATAAGGGACGCACAGCAGGGTGTTCCCTCAAATCGATCGATGCGCATACAGTGTCGCCGTGCACAAAGAACGTAAACGAAAATGAAAGGTGCTGAGAACTGAAAACAAAAAAAAAAAAAAAAAGGTCAATTAAAATGTTAAGAAAATTATTAGACTTTCATAAAACATTAATAATTCTTATAATATAAAAATACATGTAACAAGTTGAACGATGATTCGTGTTGTATCTCAAAACAGAACCACAGAGAACTTGTTATACATTTTCTCTAGGATTTCCAAGCAACTTATTGCCTTACAACTGTACGGCAACAGCAAGTTTTCATATTATTGGTTATCCAAACAACAGTAGTATGTTATGTATGCTCTAATATATGTACGTGTAGTAACTCACCTTCGGCCAAAGAGTCGATCATTGGAAGTGCACGGCTGAACAAACCATTTACCAAAACGCACAATATCTTTGGTCAGCACGAACCTACAGAAAATATTTTTTTATTACTATACAGTTAGTTATTTTTGATTATTATTTATACCGCTCCATTAAATTGTGCAAAGCTTTGAATAGTAGTGAGCGACACTCGTAGGTAAGACCTCGTTCCCATGTTCCATTCCAAAGTGCTTGGTTTGCTGGAATAAAAATTATAAAAGAAAAAGTATTATTAGAAATGATTGTAAAAGTGCATAACAATGAGAAGAAAAAATACAAAAAAAATATTTAAAGAAAATTTAAAATTAATTGGACGACAGTTGAAAAATCATATATATAAGTATATATGAATGTTTATTCCAGAAGAAAATTCGTTATAATTCTAACACCCACGGCACACTCCAGAATCTAGCTATCAGAAATGTACAAATATGTACATATGTATGTATGTTTGGATGCCACTGCAGAACACACCTGGAGCGAAATATTTAGTTTTTGAAATACTCGAAAGCTGCTAGTTGGTTTTGCGGGGCGACAAATACAATATTACATGCCCATAAGTATTTATGTTTGTATGCACGTGCAAATAAAGGCAGTTAAATGATTTCAACCCGCGCCTACAACAATGTTCAACTATGAGGCTATTTAGAACGAATAATATAAGTAAACAACTGTCAAAAGTTGATACCTAAACAGACGCACACAAACTCATACATTTATGTAGGGTATGTATAAAGACATAAAATGCAAATACAAGTGAGAAACTAACAATTGCAAAAATGTGCATCCGAAAAAAGGCACAGCAACATGTAAAACAATTTATAGAGACTTTGTGGGTATGAATGTAGGTTGCAGTGTTTATATACATGTTACAGTCTCTCTTCTCAGCGAGCATGCTCAGTGCGAAGCAATTTTACTTTTTAAACAAAACATTACTAAACGATAAGTTATTTTTTTGCGCTTTGTAATTGGCAGATAAAAAAGCTCACCTTCTGTAAAGAAAATAACTAAAACAAAAAATAATAATTTCCTAATTGTAAAATGACGGCATAAAAAAATTTTGCCGGAGGAAAATTAGACCTTGAGTATGAGTGTTTTTTTTTTCATATGAACCACAAAGTAAGTAAACCAAACAGACTGTAAACATGTTGATTTAAGACTACTGTCTCAAGCATATAACAATTCCAACGTATTTAACTAATTTCAATGCAAACAAATTGATATGCCTATCAGCGCTACTATGTATTATAATTATGAGAACGTCGAAGATTAATTCGAATGTGAATACAAAGATACTCTTTTTTCAAAAGCTCGGCTATAAAAGGTAGTTTGAAAAAGTATATGTACATATGTAAGTATATTGAGTAGAATTAAACAGAGAAAATCGGGAGGCAGAGTGAAAAGTTTTGCATAGATATGTGTATGAATGTATGTTTATTTGAGCGAATAGATAACGAAGAGAAGTAGCACATCACGGAAGAGAAAGTTTTCTATAGATGGTTAATTAAAAAGAAGTTCAATATAAACCCTTAGGTATGAAATATTACTTTTTATTATATTAATTAATATTATATTAATTAGTTTTATTACTCGTTATTTTTTTAATTATTAATTGTTAGTAATCAATTGTTGTAGCTCTAAATACATCAAAACAGATCAAATTACCTCAAGACCGTTAAGAATGATTAAATTATAGAAAAGTGGTTAAAAAATAATCTACCTTGTAGAACTCTAACACCGACTATGCAATTGTAAAACTTGTGTCAACAATAATAAATATTGTTTACGAAAAAATTTAATTCCATACAAAATAACAAAAGGTAACTTCAAATGATGTAAATATTTATTAAATTTGAAGTTGTTTAGAGAAATATAAATATTTAGACTGACGCCAAAAATGTGCTAATCTAAAGTCAATACCATAATCTGCTAAGCCTAACAAGTTAATTCAACCCACTTGTAAAGGGTATGCATATAAAACAAGAGGGCAATAAAAAGTACGGCTGAGAATTTCGGCCGAAAAAAAATCCGACAGCGCATACATTAGCATTGGTACGGGAAACTATGGGGTCAGGTCACGTCATATTATATATTATAGTGAAAATACATTGAATCTTTTATTTTCCATGCGCTATCCCAGTGATATGAGGTTTACAATAACAATAATCATAATAATAACATGCGACAGCGGTAATAATAACAGCACGTTTTAAAAATAAACCTGTGAATAAACACAAGCAGAGATGTCAAAATACAAATCGACAAATAAAATTAATGAATGAACGAATAAGAATAAGCTAATAAACCAATCTCAAATGGCAACAAGCAGCAAACGAATAACGAAATCAAATACAAAAGCGAGATGAGAAGAAACTGTGAGCGACGAGGATGTGAACAATCATAAATAATGCTGCAATACCACCCTGACCGCCAGAGAGCAACAACTGACAGCAGTATATGCCGAAAAGAGAAGGTGTCATGCGTGAGAAAAAGATGGCATTAATTTATTTTACCTATAACGCGAAATTTAGTATATGTAAAACAAACGAGAGGAAGTAGCGTGAAGTAATATCTGAGTGCAGAAAGCAATATATTATATTTACCTATCTCACCTTCGTGCTCGCGCGAAGTAAGAGGAGAAACAAATTGTAATAAAAGGTTGGTGGAAAATAGCTGTTGATAAGGTAGCTGCTAGTGGCGCACTTTGATGATGTTTACAAACGACAACAAATAGAGGAAAATGAAAGAAATAATAAGTAATGACGACAGCGGGATAATAAAACACAAACAATAGCAACAACTTAATTTTTGCATGGCACACAAACATGCACACTTATACGCTGCTCTTGCATTCTTGCCTATATGCCGCTATATTTGTATTTATTTGAAGCACTACCAAGATATTATTGACACATATCGTATGCAATGTTGTCGTTTTGGGAATTGTAGTGCGAAGAGGGTAATATGGCATTAATATGTACATGGAATTTTTGGGTTGCGAATATTTTAAAACTATTATTTACTAATATCATTACATTTAAATTACCACCCAGTTCAAAATCATCAACAACATTTTTTTTGTCAACAAAATTAATTTATTGTCATACACATGGACTTAAATTGAATATTTAATAAACAAAAATTATCTTTTTATCCAATCATTGAGGAAGTGGTCATACACCACAACTTTTTTAAATTGTATGCACATTTGTTCCTTTATCAGAATGCAGATATGAGATAGCGCATAGCTAGTTAAAAACTAAGCCGCAAATATATGTATGTATTTGAAATATTGTTGTTATAAATACAAATGTTTGATATTATCATGGACTCAAATATTTAAATTTAAAAATATGTGATAAAAACACAAGTAATTACAAAAAATGTTATGGTGGTTCGATCTGAGCAATATATTAGGAGATGGTAGCGTTGCCTTGAACAATAACCCATGCCAAATTTCGTGAAGACATCTTGTCAAATGAAAGTTTTTCATGCAAGGACTTAATTTTGATCGATCAAATTGTATGTTATATTGTTCCGATCTGATAATATTAATAATAATAATAATATGTATGCAAATTCGAAGATTTTAGACTAGTCCAGACCAAACTTCGCGAAAATATCTTGTGAAATGAAAAAGTTCTTCAAACAACACTTCATAATGATTGATTAGTTAAGTGTAAATGGCAGTTGTTGTTGTTGTAGAGGCAGAATTCTGCCGAATTGACAGTCCTTGGCGGGATTAAAATACAGTTATCGTTTACAGTGGGTCAAAATTGGCGATTCCAACAAATAAACGGCTGTTTGGGTAAAAAAAAATCAGTACAATATGCTATTCACGTATGTGATATAGCTCCCAATGTTGATCATTTACATTTAATTTAAGAGTCTCCGATTTTTCCTTTTATTTTTTATTAAGTTTGTGACAAACTTAATATACCGTGCTAAGGGTATAAAAATAAGAAAATTATAAAAGATAGTCCTCACAAATATTCAAAGCTTGCGTGTCTCAAAACAAAATATAAATTAATATCTTAATATGTATGTACATAACTATGTAATTGCACACACACCCAAATATAGACCCCTGTATACCAAAGACGTACCCACAATACACGTTTGCGAAAATGAAAGAATAACATATTATGTTCGTGTGCACCGTTTTGTAAAACAACCATCTAATCCAGCTGGCTAACCGTACCAGCATTACGATAAGTCGACTGAACCGTGATGCACCAACCTCACAGCGGCGATCAAACCCCCCTTACCTCACCCCCAAACCAAGTTCACAAATTCAACCTCAACAATGGCAAAATACACTCCCAGCCATTAAACAATAGTTTTTCAAACACATAAGCGAGTGTGCGGATACATATTTACATTCATATGAATGTATGAAGGAAGGAAGTTACACAACAACAAAGCCATTTATTTTATCCAGCACGTGTACATTTTTATGCTATGTTACACGGCTATTCAAAGCAAAAATGTATATACTAACACCTATGTAAAAGGCAAGTAACAGAGTGCAGTTATTGATGCATGTATATGCATTACTTAGCATGTACATTTTCATGTATATAGGCAGAGGGATGTAATACACACCCCAAGTTTGTGAATTTGTACCTTTTTGTGTCCGGTGGTCCAAAAACGCACAACCACAACCGTTGTATGTACACATGTGCATTTATAAAACAAAGCGCCAACAACCGATAACGCCGGAGTCATTTAGCAATTCGCTCTTTCTAGTTCCTCCCTTGAGAACATCAAACGTATGGATGTTGATGGTATTGCCATTTTGGTGCAGCATTGCCTCTTTCTACAATTCTGTTTAGGGGTGAATTTGACATAAAAATATTTATTGCAGTTGCAATAGAAATAATGTGAGGTTAAAAATTTCTACACGCTAAAAATAGTTAAGTACAGAGATTCAAAGTCGGCTTCCAAGCTTCCAATTAGCGTAAATGACTAAATAAATGAGAAATTACACATGGCACGCCGACATACAGTTTTATATACTAAACGCAGAAGTTACTCACAAAGAGGTAACTGCACAAAACTGTGGATAATATTACATGTGGGTTTGTATATCGAAACCATTTGCCATTAACATATGAATAACAGTTATACAAGTCTTAGCGGTAAATGCCTATAATGAGTCGAAAAGCTGTTTTTATTGTAGTATACACACATGTATGTATGTGTAAGTATCTAACAGATATACATATTTGTGTTTTGCCTTAAATTTTTGCGCAAATTTTCAATGTTTACGATTGGAAAGAAAAGAGCGTGCCACCACCAACAGCTTAACAGAGCGCCAGGTAGCCTCAGTAAACAGAAATTCTGTTGATTTCTTCTCTTTCATATTTTAACAGCATAAATTTAGATTTAGTCTCCGTTTCGGTCTTCGTTTGCTGTTATTCGCAGTTGCTTCTTCATTGTCAGCAGGCTTCACAAGCCAACCGAGCGTCCGCCTTACCTAAGCAGGTCTCGCCGGCCTGCGCCGTTTAAAATGTGTTGGCCGTACATATACACATGTATGTATTTATAAACATACATATCTACATATTCAGTGGGTCCATTCCGTCGTTGTTAAGCAGTGCAATAACCCGTAAAATGAGACCAAAGCACGACACTGAAATAAGAAACTCGCACAAAATTGTATGTATGTATGCACGTATTACTACGGATGCGGGTAAATCAACGAAGTAAAATGCTACCAAACAGGCGTGCGAGTAGACACCGTTAATGAGAGCAAAGCAAAAACAGCAAATTTTGTTTTATCTTCAAGCAGAAATCCATAGCTGTGTTTGTGTGTTCATTTTGATGCGTTTCTGTGTGCTAATGTACACGTACTTCCAATGAGGGTCATTATAATCGCAAGTTAACACTGTCTAACCTGAACATAAAAATATGTATGCATGTATTTATGTAAATGCCTACAAATATCACATGCTAAATGTGTCACTACTAAAGATTTTCCCGTAAATAAAATTTAAGTAACTTTAAAAAAAAGGCAAAAGTAGTAACTATTTTTATTTGACTTTGGGACTACTGTCTGCTTTGCAAAAACAAAATATGTATGTTTATATGACATTTTAATCTTCGAAGCGCATATTTCACAGAGCATGGACATATGTACATACATACATATCTATGAAATTCACAAGGATGAATTCTTTGTATAAGGGAATATAATATAAAGAGCAATGATCGGCATGGGAATTCGAATCGATTAAAAGGGTGTGTGAAAAATTCAGATGGATGTCGGTCTGACATACATACATATGTAGCTAAACCGACTCAGTTGTTATTGAAACAAACAATTTTATACAAAAATTTTAATTTCTTCGGATAGTTTATAATAACATAAATTTGTATCCAAATACAATAAATTACATTTCCCTCATCTCATTTTACTCTCCTGAATTGAGGGGGGTGTAATATGTTGGTAATCATGACGACCGAAGGCCGTAACTGGCACAAATTGATGTTTACGAATTGAATGTGCGATTTTTACTGATTAGGATAGTTTCGTCAACCTCTCTTTTTGAAAAGGATTTTGAAAGAAAGCACAATGATTCATGACGTTATAAGCATTAGAAAAGACACACGACAGTCGGGTCTATGTAGCCGGAAACTGGATTTTTATTCGACCAATCACTAGCAACTCCGCAGCATTCCATCCAATTCACTTCATCAATGTTTTCAGCAGCTACAACAACAACAGAAACATTTTTAAATTATTTTGAAAAATCTTTATCAACTAATTTGACTCTATCATTTTCGTCTAGGCAAGAGATTTGAATTCTTTTCATGTACAATTTCCAAGTTGCTTACTTTGAATTTGGACAATCTAAGAAAAGTAATGACAAATTCATATAAAAGTCAATGAAATATTCCGAACGGCAATTCAAAATTGAAGAAAGTATACATATATCTACATATGTATGTACATACATACATACATATATAGTAAATAGTTCGCTTCCGATTCACTTGACATTATTCTTAAATAGTTGTATATTGATGTTTTAATAGGTCAACTTAAGAAGCCTCAAAATGCTAAATGTCAATCCCTTATTTTTTGGACTCATTACATTTCTTTAACCATTGCCAGTTATTCAAGTCTACAAGTGTTTGCATGGGGAATAATAGTTAAACAAGTTGTTAAGTATGGGACAGCGATTACAAATGTGCATAGACATAGGAATATTTGTAAATACAAAAAAGTATATACTTATGTCGATATGTATGTGCATTTAAGGCTTTCCCATGACGTACCCTCTCGACTCTCGTACAAACAGGTTTTACTATATCTACAACTTATTATTGTTTTGCGCATACCAAGCATAGAGAATGAGATTGCAAGCAGTTCGAGAAGAAAAATCGTATAAAGAGAGCGATACAAATATTGACTCAACACTCAGTAAAGAGTCAAAGAGCTCTAGCAGCGCGGTAGCGAAACGAACGTAAACAATACACATAACTGCGTGATGAGAAAATTCGAAAAATTATAAAACTCGTACTATGTACATATGTGTTTATGTAGGTAAGAAAGTGGGCAGCGGTGAGGTGTTTACTACTACATTAGCATTTACATGACAGCTGTTTTACGCCAAAGACTGTGGGGTATACGGATATACGCTTTTGTATATTAATGTGTACGAATATAAAAATCAGATTGTGACGTCTATCACACAACTGGTATTAAAACCAACTCTTGTTGCGCCGTTGCCAATTTTCTTACAAGCGGGCGGATGAATGGCACACTCACCAACAACACTTCTAACCGGCAGATGTGAGACGACGGATGAGTTGCGTTAAATTGGATGAGACAATTGTGGTTGTTGCTGTAGCTGCAAGGCCGTTTAGCCATTTCGCAAAGAACATGTATTGGCGAAAGCCCGTATCTAATCTTAACTTTGCACTTCAAAACTACCGTTTTTTGTATACATACATACATACACACATAACTCTAAGTAGTTAATTAAAACAAGTTATTATGCTCTTTTTTTATATGCGCATATAAGTTTTGATCAATGGCTTCAGCTTGTAATAACATAAACACGCATGATCTTCAATAAATATCTGCACTTATGCAAATACGAATATCATGAGAAGAGCTCACAGGAAGTTACAAACAAAGCATTTCGAAATTCCATCAAACTGTTGGCAGAAAAAAATCAGTCACCAGCCACGCGAAATCACGTCGCATCTAACCTGTATAAGCGTATACACAATCCCACACATACAGCTGCACATTTACTATGTGCATAGGCTTATGAACTGCCGCAATCATCACCTGCTCTGTGCTTTATCCGCTTTTTAACTCACTTTCTTCCCATGCACATCTCATCCAACTCTCGGGCATTCAACTTTTTTCTTTTTTCTCACGATTGCATTTTTAAATCATTTTTATTTGTTTATCGCCTTTGTTGTATACAATATATTTTTGCCTACAGAATATTTAGCGAAAAAATACAAAAAAGAGAAAGTGTTGCACGCGGCATTGTTTAATACAAACGATAACGGGTTGAAAGGAAAACAAAGTAAAAAAATTGATCGAAAATATTATTGTGTGTACATATGAACACAGTTTTTACTAAATGGTATATACTGCCTCGGATACGATTGTAGTACCGAAATTCCAGCGAAATATGTATTTTTTGTCGTAAAACGCTACTTTTCTTTAATAATATGAAAAAATCCCGAAAACTTTTGCGAAAATTGCTGTTTTATTGAATTTTTTTAAAAATTGTCTATAATCATCTCAAACTCATAAAAGATAACGAGATCTATTTGACCTAAACCAAAAAAGGAAAAACCACCGCCAAGGACAACAATTACTGAAGATAGAGCCATAGCCCGGTAAAGCAGTGCCGACCAGGACAACAATTACTGAAGATAGAGCCATAGCCCGGTAAAGCAGTGCCGACCCATTTAATTATTCAAAGCAAATAATGCATAATGCGCGAAAACACATAGCCAAAGCACTTAATTTTTTGGAAAAATTGACGAATTAAACCAAAATTAATAGAATTGGTCCTGATAGAAAATGTACTGTTTATCGTCGTAAAGGTCAATCTTTGAATCACAGGTACACCAAAAAGACAGTGGAACACACGGGGGGAAATATTATGTTGTGGTAACGGTTATCAACATTTAGCAATTCCCACGACAGCAGGCCCTACGTTCCGGAACCGAAAAATCAAAAAGCCAACAAAATAAAACCGCTTTAACCTCTATGAAGTGGCCAATTTATGGACATATTATAAATAAAGTAAATTTAATTCATAGTGTCTTGACTTACCGGCAACTTTCAACAATTCCGCATCCACCAATTCACTAAGGTCTGGTTCTTCGCCATACCAAAATATCCATAATTCTTTGGCGGCGGCTAATGAAAGTGGTGGATGAACTTTCGATGTGCTAATCTCAAAAATCGGATTTAAATCCGAATTATCCTGCTTTGTGGACGGTATTCGACGCCACACACATAGAATGTCAGCTTGCATACATCGTGAATAGGAGCGCAGGATGGGATCATCTAATGGATCACTTGACGCATTTACTCGTTCGCTGTTTACGAACTTACGCCATTTAATTCCGCATAAATCAGTCTGAAAAGAAAAATATTATTAGAAATCGTTTGATTACGTTTTCAAAATGTTTATTATTATTATTATTATTTTATTTAAATGTAAGAAAACGGCAATGTTCTAGATGAACTTTTTTATAATTCAATTTAAGTCAGTATATAAAGGAGTATATATACTGCTTTTTATAAGTTATTATGTGAAAAATTTGTAATATTAATTATTATGCTCAAGCTTAACTGAACCTATAAAAAATATATAAATTATCGTTACCCGACGTAGAATTCCAAAGTTTATATTTCCACAATGTTGGCGAATGCCTTGGCATCAACAACACACGCTATATCCATAGTCATCCAAACTAAACAATATATTCGAAGATTTTAGCGTTGCCTTGGACTATAATCCATTGCAAATTTCGTGAACATATCATGAAAAATTACCGTTTCCCATATGGAGTTAGAGTGCATGTCATTTATATACTATACAAGTTTGATATGAACAATTTCTTCGGAGATTATAGCCCTGCTTTGGACAATAAACTACATATGTACATGCATACATATGTATGTGGAATTTCGTGGAGATATCTTTTCAAATAAAAATGCTTTCCATACAAGAATTTTGTTTTTATTAGTCCGCTTGTATGACAGCTACCCTACATACGTATGTACATACATATATGTATGCATAAGTGGCCCCATATAAAGGGTTCATACAAATGAGCAAAAAAAAAAGTATTTTAACAAGGTATATGTTGCTTTAATTAGATTTTATTCCCGACTGTAAGGCTATTGGATATTCGAAGAATCTATGAGATGAGTATATTCCTAAATAATCAAAAACTGTCAAAATCGGAACATTCTTCAAAAATATTTAAACTTTTTAAGGGCCTATAACAACAACAATAACAAATCCAAAAGTTGACGCGAATTCTATGTAAATATGTCTATGAAACCAGAAAATATAGGAATTGAGAAAAGTTGTAGCGTAGATGAAAATACACAATTCGCTCAATATAATTGGCGATACTCATAGAGCATAACGAACAAGAAGGAAATTACAAGCAGCAAAAATGAAAACAAATATTACTTGCATTCGTACTATTATGAATATATGTACGTATGCTTGTGCATAAAAATACATACATACATGCACACCTTGAAAAGAGAATGAGTATGCATTGAAAACGAAAACATGGCCAAAGCGGCGAAAGAATGTGGAACATGCGAACAGTCTTCAGCTGTAAGCATTATCTTTGGTGGGGTAAGCGCCAAAAAATTGCAATTCTCAATGTTCACTTCACTGAGGTAAACAGCAAACATTTATACGTTTAAATGTAAGCAGCACCTACTCGCCGAAGTCAACAAAACACCAGCACCAATTAGGAATGAAACTGTTGTCATTTTTTATGTGCTTTGACTTTGGAAATGAGTACGAACAAACACATACATGTTGAATAAATAATAAAAAAAAAAGGAATAACGAATGAGCTAAATATACGGGAGAGAAATACAGCCGCATCGGAACAAGTGAAGAAAATGATGCGCCAAAGCACACTGGTGAATATATTTGTATATAAATATGCATGTACATACATATGTATAATGTAAGTATAAATTGTGTACAAATGTATACATAAATAAATATAACCGACAGTCACAACAAATGCTAAAACGAAATCGAAAACACAAAACATCAAATATTGGTCATAAATAGAGGATAGTAATAATAAAAATAAAAAACGAGTGCTCCCTATATATTAATGAATCAGACATTCTTCTTTCGCTACAACCTTGATATACTCTCGAAATGTAATCTTAACTCGTTTGCTAAATAAAAAAAAAATTAAATATAAAACTATAATTTACTTTTACTACGAAGATAAAACAGCCGGTAATCAAAAAAATTGTTACTTAATTAAAATTATATGTATGTATATGTATATTGAGACTATGAAAGGTAGCTTGATATAAAATTCGACTTTATATAATGATGTAAGTAAATTACAGTTGTTTTGACAGATAATGCATGAATAAATGTGCCAAAGATACAAGTGACTACTATTTGCAGAAATACTACTAATAATTTATATTTAAAGATTAAGTATTAGAAACCAGAAAGAGTATCAGCCGAGATTTGCAAAATATTTATTTATTTATTTAACAAAAATAKATTTTATATTATTTAGCATTTATTTATTTAGTACTTGAAAAATATACTTATCAATAAAAAACTATGTACGTAAATATATACAAATCATTTCTTTTTAATAAAGGAACAGAGCTTTTGTAAAGTTGTGTTCGCAACAGAGTTTTTGATTAATTCGCACATATGTACACTGTATAATAACAAGACCCATAATGAAACAGCGAATTGTGAAAATGTCAGGTGGATTTAAGAAGCAAGTCAATAATATGAATTTAAGTTTGTTTTGCAAAATCTAACAAACACTCTTTATGAAAGTAGGTAAACTAATCAACATATGCGGCTCAAATTCTCTCTTCTAATAACAAGACAACAAACACACTCCCTCACCTATTGCCCGTTTTTTTTTTCTTTCTTTTTTACATAATAAATATATATTCATATTGGTTTTTATAAATGTAAACTCACCAGGGCAAAGAAGTTTGTATGGCAATCCTCCAAACTAGCGCCGTTGGTCTGATGATTTTGATGCGTCATAGTTCATGTATTTTTTTAACACAGCAGCTCCTCATTTTCTCAATTATCGTTGATAATAAGCAATTTGCGTCTCAGCAAAAATTTCAATTAAATGAGAACTACACAACAGCACCACGCAAGACAAAAGCTTCGTGGCTTCTGTATTTTGAATAACTAAACGATATTTTTGCTTTATTTTCTCTAACGTGCCTACGTCATTACCGCGTCGTTTGCTCAGTTACTGTTACATTCATATAAATTATACAGTGCTATCGTTATTTGCCGTTTATAACTTTTGGTTATGCTTTCATCAACTGCCGTGTATCGCATACTATGCGAAAGCGAATTGATAAACTCGCAAAGCACATACACACACGCACACGTTATAACGGTCTGACGTACAGGTAGGAATTAGGAAGTGCCCTTGTTGCACTACTGTTACTGTTTTATTTCTTTTTCACTATTTATCTTTGTCTCACATACACTTATTCTTTCGCCTTTAAATTTATTTCGGTCGCTAGGTAATACAAAACGAATATTTAGATACTTTTTTTACTACTTGTTTATGATTTCATGCTTTTATTTTATATTTATCTTTTCTTTTTCTTGCTTTCTCATTATTAAACACTTTCTTTGGTTTTCCAAGCACTAAATTTTTATTTGTTACAATATCGTTTTTAGTTTGTATTCCGCTTTACATTTTTAACACTATACTGGATTAGGATTCCGATTCGAATTAACATTCGGATTCAGGTAAATCAATTTCGAAATTACCAACCAACCACAATTTCTACTAACACCAGTGTGCATTTAGTACATTGACAAACACTAACAACTCTGTCGACGTTTACGATCGACTATAGTCGCTACTGCAGCTACGATTTCTCACTAACACACACAAATAAACACCACAGTTCAGCGACAATGAAATTTGTGCTCTTCGCAATTTTTGCACGAGTTTTGCCACTGATGTCGATGACGACGACTCGTGCAACAACAAACACTACTACACTACCGCCACCGATAAACAGCGCAACTGAACGGGATACTAACTAAACGTGCGAACGAGTAAGCGGCCAACAAACGAGCAGACGAGTGGTGCACAATGTGAGAACCGGTGACGTTACGATAGATAGAAAGAACAACGGCGCGCGCGACATGAACACTTTTATTATTTTTTTGTTTTATTTAGTATATTTTTTTCTGTTTTCTTCCACTGTTGATGATGAAGGGTAGCACCAACACTGCTACTACTGTTTCCGACACAACAGTCACCGACTAATACCGATGCCCCTCAGATTTTTTTTGCTTTGTTGCGACGCAACATAATGAGAAGAGAGCGAATTGCGATGAAAGTCGATGGTCGTTGGCTGAATGACTGGTTGCTTTGCTTGTGGTTCACCGTTTGTTGCTGGCTTTTCGTTAATCGTTGATGTTGATGTAGACAAAATATAAAATAATAGGTAGGTAATGTATGTAGTTTATTAAATTTTCCACTGCATGCTCAAATATTTTGTGTAGACTATTCGTATGATGCGTATGAATTTTACTTTAGATGAGTTTAAGAAAATTTTGAATTTTATATTCTTTGATTATATCAAACCTGCTGAATAAAATATAATACAACATATTTGGTTAAAATTTATCACACTTTTTATGTTTTCACTACGATTGTAACTTTTATTGCAATTTGTTTCACTGTTAACGAATCCAACGAACAGATGTGCACTTTTCCTCTTTATATACTGAGGCAAACACATACATACCTACACATTTACATACATGAGTGCGTACATTAACATGAAATCGTTTTACTTCTGCCGTATTGTAAGAGTTGTATTTTTTTCAATACAAAAAACAATTTATATTAAAAAACACACCTTGAATTAAGCTTGTCAAGAGTAATATCATGTTTATAAACAATACAATTATTGAATCTTTTCGTAAAAATAATTGTTTTCACTTATTATTCGGTTTTGCAAAATTATTTAATAGAATTTCCTCCTCAATAGAAATATTATTGACCACAGCGATAGCGAACACGAAAAAATGTTAACCAACGAATAAACGACATACAAGTGCTGCAAAGTCGCCTATACACAATGGAAATTTTGTCTTTTTTACTTATGCTTCTATTTCTACTTCGGAATGGAAATGAACCGAATCGCAGATGAGAGAAAACAACAACACCTAACAGGGTTGCATTTGTTCTCAGTATTTTCAATTTAAATGTCAAAACTAGCGAATCAATTTTTTTGATTTATTTTTCCTACAAAAAATTATAAGCGTTGAATTGTACATATAATACACACATACATCAACTTGTATATTACAATATGTAAAGGGCTTAGTTAAAGAAGAGAGAAATAATGAGAGAGATTTCGAAAAATATAATTTTTTTCGATTTGATAGGCATAAAAAAGAGGGTTTTTGAGTGCGGAACGCGGCGTTTGGTGTTCTCTTTTGCGCTCTAGTAAAATAAAAAGCCGACACATAGCGGTCGACCTCAACTACTTTGTCGAGTCGGAGCCCACATTCCAATAATCCACCGTATTTTTGTAGACGTTATCTCATAGACCCTCATTAAATCAAACAGTGGCCCTAAAATCTTAGTTTTCATCTTAGCAATGCGAAACTCTTTCACAAATATACGTTTAACTATGTATGTACATACACACATAAATAAATGTTTTAAGAGAAATGCGGAAACCAAGTATGTAACTAAATATTGTACAATAAGGAATCACTCTTGAACTAAAATATGACTCAAATGATTTCGTCAGATAACAGATTAAAGAATACCAAGTTCTATTCTTAAATGTTAAGCACCGCAATGCAAAAACTACTATGTTAATTATGAATTTACAAATCCTTTTTAAAATAAAATAAAAAAAAACATTAAATATTAGTAAAAAAAAAATATTTAATCTCTCCAAAGAAATATATCAGTAAATTTTTCGAATAGCATTTAAAGCTCTTATGAAAGAAAATGGAAAATAATACAGATAAATATTTAAAATATTTCTTAGTAAAATTAAAAGCTATTATGGAACTTTAATTAGCATTGATATTTATTCTGACTTCTACTGCAATACATTTTGAACATCTTTAATTGTGAAATTCATGGATTACTTTAAATGTAATATAGCAAAGTAATTTTAAAACTGCATGAATAGTCATATTTATTTCCTGCTTGAAGTTTGTAGCTTCAAAATATATATAGATGAGCTTGCTGTTACTAAATACCCTCGTTGGGGCGGTAGATTAGCCAATATTAATTCAATTCTCGAATGAATCGATGAGAGATGACCGCAAAAACAATTGCAGCAGCGACTGCAACAAACTACAACTTAGTTTCTCTTCGGTTCTTAATTTCTATTTCTCCCAAGCTTCTGCTCTATCATGCTATCCTTGCTGGCATTACCCGCTTTTTAAAAAATTTTTTGTTTAATTAAATATTTGTTATTACTGTTGTTTCTTTACTTCGATCAATTGAATTACTTTTATTGTAAATAAATTTCTATTGCATCTCCTGTTTTCTTTCGGATATAATGAATTACATCTCTACTACCTTTATTAATTATAAAAATCCGTTGGTCAACCTTTGAAAATTTAAGCTTTTGATCGTGAACTGTTAAACTATTTGAACAGCACACCACTTTTTTTATACTAATTAAAGCGTTAATAAGAGACTTTCAACAATTTCTATGCAAATAAATTCTATTTATTTTTTGTACACTTTCGCATAATTCACTTATTTCACCCGCTTACTTCTTCCGTTCTTCCCTTTTCAAATTCTCCTATTAGCACATATAAAGAGTAATCCACACTTCACGCATCTACTTATACACACAATCTCTTTCATATATGAGGAGTATGCACACATGCATACGGTACACTTTTGCTCCACTTTCCATTCGCACTCTTTATACTTTTTTTTTTATTAAAGACCAATCGATATTTTCAAGTCTTTTAAATATTTATCCGTTCGATTATTTTCATGTTTAGCAACACAGATTTTATTAATTTAAAGCTCTCTTACACTTTGCCTTGTACGAGATAATTTATATAGCGATTGTTTTAAACAAAATTTCCATTAATTATACGAATACCGAACACTACCAACCAAATCAAATCGAATAGCTGACGGTAACGACGATATGACATTTGCGACTGTGGAATCGAAAATGGCGATTATAAGAGAAAAAGCCAATTCTTAGTAAAAACAATCAGGGATGTATTTTCTTACATTTAAATGTAGTTACAATGGAGAAGTTCTACACTTTAATTTGAATAAATTCATGCTTCACAATTAAAATTTCATAATTATTGTTTTTGTGTTTAAACGGTGATATTTAAAAAGTAATTTATTTGACCTTCTTACAATATGCTGATTTATCTACATTTAAAAGTATATGTACTTATTCAATTTGAAAGCTCTCAACAAATATACGGTATTTTTAAAACTATTAAATTTATTTCCGACAAATTTCGTTAAGTGAATATATTTGCTATTCATAGGAACATTATTAAATTATAACAAATTAATTTTACAAATTCAGTTAACATGTATTGACGCCATGAAAACACAACACTGTTTTAGGGGGTGGGATAATTGATTTCCTCTCACTTTGCTGTCTTATTATCTATCGTATTCATTTTAACAAACGTTCTCATAAATACCGATTATATATTGGTCTCGCCAATCGTAGTTGCAAAATCCTTCACTAGTGCAAAATCTACTTCATATACGACTTGTTTAATTTTAATAATTTCACAAATATTCTTTTTCCACAATTGTATTATGTTTAAAATAATAACTACTTCTATTATTTGACCATTACAAATTCTCTACACCATGCTTTCTTCTAATGTTGTGCAGCCATTGAATCGGTGTTTCGCTGTCAAGTTCAACAGTTTAGAAACTAAAGATGACAACCTTTTCCAAAAATTATCAGTATAATTTATGGGATCGATAAAATAACTTTAAAATATCGATGCAGTTGTTTTAAGATGTTAGGGGTATTTTAAAGATAATATCGTAGAATTTCTTCAAAAAATCCCAAATTTTTTATACGTAAATGTATCTTGCTTTTTTGAAAGTTTTATAAGTTGGATAGTAATAGTTAAGTTTAAAGTTCCAACAAACAAATACCAAATACACATTAAGGTACTAAATAAAATCACGGTCTTCTTCTGTTGCACTGTATATATTTGATTATCTGTTAAAAAAAAATATTCTCATTATTGTTCAAAAACAATCATACAACAAATAAAAGCGATTAATTAATATTAGCTGTCTATTTCGGCTATTCCAATAGTACTATTGTGATCTATTTTTTTCTCTAAGAAGAAGAGTTATTACATCTGATAACCAAGTAAAAAACATCGAGATGAGTTTATATAAAAGTGCACAATTTTCAATAAATTTAAATGTAAATATTATTTTAAATGTTATAAGATATTTATAAAATCCTTTTTACAATTATAGCAGAAAACATGGCACATAATATCAGCATATTCAACTGCGGTAACTAAGAAATCACAGGCACAAGCACAACGAAATGTGACCGATGTGGGAAAATCCTTGGCTTGCAAAGGGTATTTATAATATAAATAAATTTCAAAGAAATTAATTGATTTAACAATTTTATTAAGGTTCCTACGGTCACACAAGCCATATTATCCACCTCGAGATGTTCCGGACAAAGTACGATCAATATGTAACAATCTAAAAATATCCTTTGCAAGCGATTATAAACTAGAAAATTTGGAAGAAAAATTTAAATTTTTAGATGCTTGTTTTCGTGATTTTCAACATAGCGTTCCAAATTCACAGGTTCATGAATTGCAAAGTATAGGTAAATTCATAAAAATCCTCTGCTATAATTATTAATTAAATTGAAGAATATAACTTACTTTCAGGTGATGTAGTCAAATTTTACGAGACCTCTGTGAACACCACTGTACCTTATGATGCTCTAAAGAATGCCAAACTTCCGGAAAATTTACATATACAACATGATTATTTACGTTTTAATCCAGACACCGATTCAATGTTTAATGGTCAGACCGCATTCCCAAAGAGTTCGACTCTTGTAACGGGTTTGAAGTATCGAGGCAAATATGAAGGTTATAATGCAAAACGCTCTTGGCCATAAGTTGGTTATTTTAATTTTACAAAGTTGTTATAATACGATTGAGTTGGTTAAATATAATAAACTTATATTATACTAATATTTCATGTAGTTCTCTACAGTTCCTACCAAATTAGAATCCATTAACGTTTCAAGGGCCTTCTGTACGCGAACATCCTTCAAGAGATCCATAGCTCGATAATCTGACCTGACTGCTTCTAACGTGGGATATAACAACTTGTAATGTGTTTCAGCTACCGACGGTTTATTCATTATATCTAGGATTCTCTTTTGCAATTCAATTTCAGGATCAGGCACTTTTGTTCCTATATCTGCAGCATCGCCAAGTTCTATTTTTACTTGATGCTCTCGCCGTTCTTGAAGATATTTTATTATTCTATCATATTGAAGAACAGTAAGCGGCATATTATCCGAAAGTAAATTTAAAAGCGTTTGAATAGCACTGGGATGACGATCTTCTTGCATAGGATTACCCATATTTACTCCAGTCATAGGCTTCGGTAGAGATGCAGCAAATGATGCTTTTTTCATCACGTCGTTAGCCATTTTTTGGCGAAAATCTTTTGATATCAACATTATTGCATCATCCACGGGCATGTTTCGGTGCTCTGCTGGTTGACCATATAATATGTTGACTGTTATACTATTGTGTTCTTCATGCTGGGGCGTTATCAATATTGCATATAAGCAACCTCGGGACGAGATATTTATTAAAACTTTGCCGAGTGGCACATCTTCGTTCGGAAAAAGCACATCTACTCTTAAATTGATATCTTTAAGACGCTGTTCAATGTATTCCGCATATTTTCTGAAATTGTAAAATAAAATTTAATTTCTCTATTCCTGAACTCAAATGTACATATACATAAATTTAATCATGAAACCTACGTATTTCTTCGATCAATTACGATAATTTCACAGTCATTGTAATCTGGATTCATATTGGGCGTAGTATTTGTTGGCATAGATTCTGGTACTCCAAAATAGCCGGTATTTATATTTGTTGGAAGTGCAACGTTATCAGACGCCGGTCGCTTAGGGGCTTGCTTGGATGCTGCGTTCCTTACAGTAATTACATTACCTTTAAATATAGATTTGGATAGTGATGAAGCGACTTTATTAGCTATTTCCTCTGATTCGAATTGAACAAAACCAAAATTTTTCTGCACCAGTGATCCTAATACTTTCCCATAAGGGAGACATATACTCTCCAACTGTTCACGGGTACACGTTGGAAGATTACCAACAAAAATTCGATTCTTTGCTAAATTAGGATCACGTATTATTTGTAAATTTGCATTAGAATTTTGTTTATTGTCGTTCTCCGCCATTTCTTTCAGCAAATAAAACTTTTCACAATTTGAGTAATAATTCAATGGTAATCAGATACAAACGATATTTTGTTATTCACATATAAGTGTATCGGTTGAAGAAAATATCGATTAGGAATATTTCGATGTTAGTAATTCACAATAGCAAAATAAATAAGTACGAATCTTTCAAATCTATTGTTTTTAGGTTTTGTATATAATCCACCGCCTGTGATTTGAAAAAATTACCTAAGGAGTTAAAGTTTCATATACTCATATATGTCATCAAAAAGTTGGTCGGCGTGTAAACTTTAACTGTAGGGAAAGAAGGGAACAAAACCACTTCCGCAGATGAGTTAAGTTATTAAAATACAATAATAAATATTAAGTACTTTAAATGCGACGATCACAACGACTTATTAAATATAAAGATGTTGCGGATAAACCTAATTGTTTTGATGAAAGTAGCAAATTACTTGCTGATGATCGGAATTTCAAAAAACAAATTCAAATTTTGGGAGCCAAAACGGATAACGGAAGTAACAGTAATGAAAGCTTATCTCAGTTATTTAAACAAATAAGTGAGGATCAAGGCACAGACGTTATCAAAAATACATTGTTAAATACTTCTAAAACCAACGCTGAGGTAAATACAAGTACTAATAACACATCAAAAGAAAATAAATTGAAATCTATAAAGCAGATTCACAACAAACGGTAAGAGCAAAAATAATACATGTGTATTATGTCTTTAATATCTGTATTAAGAATAGCCAGATGCAACATGTGAAGTTCTCTATATATACATATTTATATATCAGGGAAAGTGCATATTAAAAATTGTGAATCTCTAACCAATTTTTCATCTTCAACATAAATTTAGATGTCCAACCGCGCCATCTGCAGCACCAACTACAAGAAGAGGCAGAAAAAGAGGATATAGTGGGTCTAAAAACGTTAGACAACATAAAAAAACTCGCTTCGAAGCTGCTTCAAATGAGGATGAAGTGAAAACACCTATCATATCAATTGACAATTATTTTAACCCCATAAGAAATCCATTGCTACCAGTTGCGGCAAATGCACAGCAGGGGCAGAATAACGATTTTTATTACTACAACAAAAATTCGCTATTACCTCCGGTGTATCCGAATCATTTTGTCAATCAAAACTACACCAACACTTTAATTAATCCACAACAATTGCAGTCTTTTGCAGCGATGGAGTCAAATGTTCAACCAGAAATACACTTTCCTACGCCAGAATTAACACAATCACTTGATTTAGATTCATCCACTTCCACAATATCGCTGCCGGAATCTCTTCGCGAACTGTTCGGATGCGATGACATTCGCGATGTTTTAAAATTGGATAAAGTAGTATTTCGAATGCGTCTATTGCATTTACAAACATTGGCATATGTGTTAAATATAGAATTTAATTATTTGCGTGATTTGGTTGAGAAAATAATGAAGTTGGATACAGAGACTTTACAGAAAGTCATTTATGCTTTTCAACCGGAAGCAAACTTTAAATATACTTCAGAAATCAATAAATAATTAAATCCACAATAATATATAGTGGTTTTATAAATAAATATAAACAAATAACAGCATAAAATAGGTCAAACTGATTAAACGCGTATTAATTGGTTTATCTTTAGTTTAAAAAACTATATTAATACCCTTACCTGATAATATACCCTTATTAAGTTTGCCTCGAAGTGTGTAATACCCAGAAGTAAACGTCGAGGACCTTATAAATCAATGATAAACGTGATAAACTTAATCGATTTACCCATGTCAGTCTGTCCATCTGTGTATACGCGAAAGGACTACCCCTTAGTTTTTATACTCTTGCAACATGTTGCTACATACATAAATGGTTTGTTCACCTAACGGTTGTACATACCACCTAAAAATAATTGAGATAGATATAGAATTATGTACATTCTATATATAAATGACTAGGATGACGAGGAAAGTTGCAATCCGGCTAATTGTCCGTCCGTCTGTGCAAGCTGTAACTTGTGTAAAAGTAGAGATATCTTGATAAAAATTTGTATGAAATTTATTAGCAAAAAAAAATCCTAGTTCGTTGATGGACGTAATCGGACCACTGCCACGCCCATAAAACGTCATTAAATGAAAACCTATAAAGTGCTGTAACTAAGCACTTAATTAAGATATAAAACTCTAATTTGACACAGGGTATCGCAGTAGCAACGTGCGCTGGGGGGCCCTCTATTAAGTTTAATGTAAGTATCTCCTAAAAAACTAAAGCTACAACCACAAAATTTGGCTGATACATCACAGTTTACCTACGTGATGGTATAATAAGGCGTGACATCGACCACTTTTTGGTGAAAGTGGGTGAAATTGAACGCCAATTTTAAATTCATTTAATTCTTAACTTTCCAGTACATAAATCCAAAAGTAATTAATATAACGGGATAAGATTGTATGCCACCTTTTGACCAAAAATGAAATTTGAATCCTTTCCTGACAATAGTAACTTTGTGTATCAAAAATGGGTTGAATCCGGTCAATACTTCCTTGAGTCCGCATATATGTACCTAATATGAAGATTTTCGAACTTCCGGGAGATATCTCAATGAAAATTACAGATCGTGTTATAATTTTAATAAAAAACATTCGGTTGCACCCGAATTCAGCGCCTTCTTTCTTGTTTAAATGTTGATCTGAAATTTTGCAGATTTTTTTTCTTATTCTTAAAAAGCTGTTGATTTGTCGGAACACCGCTGTTGGACTGATATGGCATATATAATACATACATACATGTTATACAAACTGATCAAAACGCAAGTCCCTTTAAGGAAACCGTTTTTATTTGACAAGGTACCTTCACGAAATTTGGCGTAGATTAATATCCAAGGTATCGCAAAGTCTCTGGTCAAATTGTTGAGATCGGGTACAAATTGACAGCTCAAACTCAAGTCCTTGTATACAATACTTTTTATTTGACAAGCTATCTTATTCAAAGCAACGCTACAATCTCCGGTCTAGGTCTACAGTTCGTACCACAAGTTGGAGGCGAAAAGGACCGAAAATAAGAAAAAATTTGCAGTAAGATCTTTTCACACACTGCGTTTAATATATTTATATGTACAAAAGTATTAATGCTGTACTTAAACCCCCACGATTATAACAAAAACAAAAAAAAAAATATATATATATATCGAGGGAAACTTATACCACGAATATATAAAAAATATTTTCCACGTACATCAGTAGGTATTTATTGATTTGCAAATATGCCATATATTATTTCATGAGTTTTTTGTTATTTTTCTAACTGCCCCTCTTCGATTACGATCTTATATTAATTTCATTTCAAACATAGCCAGTCCCAATTTGTCAACGTTTTCAGACAATTAGATCAATTTAATAACTGGTAAGTTATTTAACGTAATTAATTATTAGCATTTATATTCTTAATTTAATTATCCTCGCAGCGGCAACGACTTGATGCTTGCATTTCATAAATAATAGCTGCAGAAAATAAAAAAATCTTGTTTAATCTATAAATTGTAAACTAGAAATATTTACAAATTCTTTTCAAGAATTTACCAACTGTAGTAAACTAATATTGCATATTCTTAAGTATGCCTCTAGACATTAAAAAATAAAATAATTTATTTTTTAGTTTTAATTTGCATTAGCGTACCTAGGAATATATATTTTGAATAATTTTACCTACGACTTTCATTTTAACATTTGCCTTTACTTTAACTCATTGTTTGGGTTTATTTTTGCTAAAAAATTATATGCTATATTGGTGCATCAGATCCCAACCAATTCAAATAGATATTCAAAAAAAAAAAAAAAAAAATGAAATATACAACTTAACTGGAAAGTATGCCAATTTATGATGTATACATATATGTATATAAACAATCATATTCACAATTATTCATGTATTTCTTAATCGGATTTTCCTTGACCTAGCTTACTTTCGATTAGCAAATTTTAAATTTAGGTAAATATTCGTATCAGTATCATTTCATTCCAGGGGACATTTTCGAATTAAATTTTTTGTTTTATTTTTCGTCTTTTTACGTGTTTGTTATTGGGTCGGTCAGTCAATTAACCGAAGTAGCACTCACTTAATATTAAACACAAAAAGCATTAACAAATCAATTGGTTTCACCTTTGTTTTGAATACGCTTCACACTCGTAAGTGCAGAGTGGGGAAGTAAAGCAAACACTCAATCGAGCAATTCAATACGCATCACTGTCATAATTTATGTCTTGTTGTGCTTGCGTTGAGTCATCTGAACGATCGGATGTCGGTTCTGGATCCTGATCTGCGTCTACGCTCTGATCATTCCTGGCGGGACTAAACATCGGTACAACAGCTGAGTCAAAAGCATCTCTCAGCTGGTTATTTGCGCCCTTCGGATCCAGATCGGTGGCCCAGCTGAAGTGCATTAGTGCTGAATCCACATTACCCAGGGTTTTATGAATTTTACCAATTAAATAGAAAACTACCGATTCCTTTGGTACCACCTCTTTCAATTCTTCGAGTTCGCGCAATGCCTCCTGATGCTTGCCCAATGAGAAGTAAATTGAGCCACGATGGAAACGTGCCAATGGATTTTTCGGATCCAACATTGCTGCTGTGTTTAATGTTTGCAGAGCTTGCTCCTTTTTCTGCATAAAATATTGCATTGCACCAATATGCACTAGAATCACTGAATTTTGCGGATTGATTTTTAATGCTTTGATGTAATATAATTCAGCTAACTCGTATTTTTCTTGCTTGGAATATATAGTGCCCATACCAAACCACGCATTATAGTGACGGGGATCGCGGGCAACAGCAGCATGGAAATAGTCAGCAGCCTTATCTAATTCTTCGGTTAAAACGAGTTCATGCCCAAGGAGTGTGTAACTGTAAACAAAATCAGGATCCACCTGCACAGCCCGTTTGAAGAACTTAATTGCCGTCTCGTGCTCTTTATGTAATGAAAAGCAGTTACCAGCTACACACCAAGTGATCGGTGATGTTTTATCTTGATTGATTAAGTCCTGTGCTAAAGCTGATAGATCGACTTCTTTTTGCAAATGCCAAAGCGAGGATGAGTATATCTCCATGAATTCTAAACGATGAGGCTCATTTTCGTGTATGTCTTTAAATACGGAAATCGCAGATTCATATGCGCGTAATTCATAGTGAGCTAAACCAATGAGGGACTGTACCCAGCTGGAGCACAAGTGATGCTTTGGTACTTTGCTTTCAAAATGCTTGATAGCAGCTTTACATTGATAAAGTGTGAGCAGTTTATAACCTTCACCCAAATCTCGCAATAATGACATTAAGCCATCTGCTGACTGTTTCTTTAGTGAGAGCACATGATGCGCCATTGTTTGTGCGTTATTCAAACTATTGTTCAGTAACACTTTGGTGTCTTCAATGGAACGATTGTGACCGGTAGCTGATGTTATTGTCTCAATCTTTTCTTTGTCTTTTCGTGCGTTCTTCTCATTCAACTTGTCCGCATTGATATTAATACTTTTATCTTCGATCAGTTCGTTATTTAGAGAAATTTTAGGCATGCGCGTCTTAGTTTTCCGTGGCGGAGAACGTGGCAGTGCAAACTTGTTGCTAGTAATATTCGGAGATTTGTTGTTTTCTTTTACGGAATAGGCACTATTACTAAACAAGCGAGAACTGCGTCTTACAGCTGCGTTGGGAATAAGTGAACCTGAAAATTACATGATGAAAACTCTCAAATTTACTACATATATTTTAAAATATATTAATGTAGACGTACCTGACGATATACCACCTTGATTATTGGGTGTACGTGGAGTGACATTGCCAGTTTGTGTAAAAACTGCAGGTTTGTTGGTGGTTGTGCCACTTTCTTTTCGATTTATAAGACTACTAACATGACTTTTCATTTTCTTTCCAATTACTTTAGACTCCTGATTTGCTTCCATTAATGTTTGTGGTGAAGGTGTGTTCAGCACACTTATATTCGTTTGTGCATGACCTGTGACGACAAAAGAAGAATCACCACCGCATGGACTATGCATGGGTAAAATACCGAAGCTGGGTGTTGTTGGCGAGATTGCTGAGAGGTATTTGAATTGCCGGCGAAATGGAGTACCGCCTCCAACGTCGAAATTTTGTATTGGATTTAAGCTAGTGTGTTCAGTGCTGTTATTACTGGTGGTATAACCAATTGGTGTATCTTCCAACATCATCATGCCAGAATTTTGTAAACTACTACCAACAGATATATTTGCTGTGTTGACACCGCGAAGCATGGACATTGAATTGTTTAAATTGTTGCTATTATTGTTTGGGGTGATTAGACTCTGGAGGGTAATGATATTTGGCTGTGGTTGCGGTTGCCATTGTTGCTCAACTGGTGTGCAAAGTATGTAATTTGAACTATTATTTGTGTTATTCATTAGGATATCCGAAGAAGGATTATTTATGCCAATGTTACTTAAATACTGAGTACCACTATCGTTAAGCGTTATGTTTTGTCCCGTATTACCACATAAAACCATGGAATTAGAATTTGCGCTGCCTTGACATGTATTGAACACATCGGTATTGGAAATTTGGAACGTAGCAGCTGGATCTACAAATTCGCCCATGTGGCATAGGTCGGCGAATGTTTGCCACATAAACGGATTGAGTTTTAGTGCACGGCGTAGTGCTTCTGCAGCCATTTTACTTCTTTCAGTTTTTACACATATCTGGGCAATCAACTGCAGCACAAAACATGCGATTTCACCAAATTCTTTCGCAATATCTTCCAGATTTTTTATATCACCAAAACCGCCGTTGACAAGCACACACTCGGATTCTGCATATTTCTTTAGTTGGAAAGCACATTTTGCTTGTAAAAACCGACAATACGGCGAACGACGTGCTTTCTCTTTAAGTAACCAATAAGCTTGGTGTATCAGATTTGACCTGTAGTAGCTAGTGGCGAGCAGAAAAATTGTTTCATCTGTCTCCACTGAAAAAAAATGTAAATGTAAATTATATTATTTATAAATTAATTATCGTTTATTTTAGACGATCGCTTACCTTCACAGCAGAGACGTTCCGACAGAAAAACGGCATCTTTGTAATCATAAAAGTTTAGGCAATGCCAAATAGCGGCCTTTGGAACGAACAAATAGTGAATAGTTTATATATGAATTAATATTTACATTATTAATAAAAGTTACAAAATTGGTTTTACCTGCACTGGCTCCTGTATAATCATATTATCTGTTAATTGTCTGTAAATACAACCTTTCGCATTTACTCTTCTACAACCAATTTACACGTATTACTTCAGAAGCACAACACCTAAAATAGAATAATATTTAGACACTTTCATCTTGAACAATTTCTTTACTATATGATACCTTTATACTTGCAGTAGTTTGGAAAAATTGCTACTTTCAAAGTTTTATCATGGAGTTTTGCGAGTTTAGTATTTTAATCCTGTTTTCCACAAAACGTCACACATGATACGAAGAAATGTTATTTCTTACCACAAAAACTAGTTTTAATGTAAAATTATAACATTAATTTGTACATTTTGCCTTATTTTAAAATATCAAGAAAAAAGGGAAACGCTTTTACAAGATCTGTCTTTTTACAATTGGGCAAGAAAATTTTGTTATTTTTTCCCCAACTTCACTTCGGGGGACGCCTGTGACTGACAGACAGTCTTTGGTGCTTATGCATTTGCCATCAACATTTCCAATGTTTTTCTATTATTTACTTCGATATATTTAAACCTCAATAGACCAGAAAATACTTCACTTATTATGTGCTGTAACACTTTTCGAATTTCTATAACAAAATTATTGGTTTTAATTTTATAAAGAAATATTGTAAAACCCTTCGTTTTTTCGTCAACGCAGAGGTCCAATCACATAACATAGAGATGCCACATTATATAAATAGTAGTATAAAAAACTTTAAAACAGAGATGTTTAGGCAGAGATGGTTTGAAGAGTTTTGATAAGAAAACAATTTAATATGCGCTTATTAATTTATTATTATGCAAACATTAATTTTTATTATATTTAAATTTGTTTGAAATTTATAAAATGGTGTTAAAATTGTGTACTATATGACTATATAACATTTTTCGATTTGTTTCTAATTTTCTTTACGTTAAATTACGTTAATTTAATCATTGTAAACAGTTAATGTGAGCACCCTGTATTTAAATGTTTTTTTCTTGACATATACTAGAATAAACAGCTGTTTTAATTTATAAGGTGGGGAAACGTCAACAAAGTTATTTCTCAGACATCACAAAATTCATTTTAATATCAATGGAGAATTAGGAAAAGTGCATAGAAATGATGATTTTAGAAAATGCTGCTTAAATTATTAATATTGGTTTTGTTAGTATTTCTATTGGCATATTGGTAAGTAAGAGATAAATGTCTTTTGCAAGAGACTTGATAATTTTTCCACAATTTTCAGCATTCTACCAAAAGGGATCAGTTGGTATCTAGTTAAAAAGTTTAAGGTAAAAGTACGAATTGGAAGCATTAGTTTACGTTATCTTGCGTTGCGGAATGTAGATGTCAGTAAAAGCGGTTTTATTGTGGTAAACACTAATCAGACTAATATACAGCAATTATGCTAAAAATTGTAAATTATTTTACAGCAAATTGAAGAAATTTGTCTTCGTAGCAGCTTTTTTAACACAGAGGTAACAAAACTGCTATCAATCTATATAAGGGATATACGTATAAACAAAGATATACAAAGCAATGATGTCACAGCAGAATCACTTCGGGATTCTGAGCGTCTACATAGTAAAACTCGGCAGGAGGAGGAAAAAGATGTGCCAGATTTCCGGCGAGCGAAAGTACCACCGAGTATACTAACGTTCGCTCAGGTAAAAATATATAGTCTGTTTATTATTTTTGAATAAAAAAACTTGGCTTATGACTGATTGACTGATTATATTAGTTGTAACACAGAGTTGATCCAAACATGGAACAGAATTGCGTTCATTTTACAAATCATTTATTTATTTTGTATTTTTTTTTTTTTAGTTTATGGCTATGCACATAAACAATATTTCCGTGGTCCTTATGAATAATAATTTCGATCCCGGCTGGTTCATACATGCAACAGCAAGGGAGTTACATCTGGATGGTAGTATTGTGCATAACGCTAAAACTTTACTAGTTAATGCGGCGCTTAACGATGCTCAGGTAAGATCGGTATTTTTACTGATTTTCTGCATATAACTTTTTTCTATTTTTCAGGCGAAAATGTTGAGACATTGTCCTTCACGGCGGCAGTCCTTGGAAAATCTAAATAAGATACAACCTTGTTTGGGTGAGATTAGTTTCGACATTGCCTTGGATGCTACGCTCTTTGCGCACGGTCCTTTATCAGTGGACGTAAGAAAATTGGATTTACAATATAATATTTTTATTTTATAAAAATTTTCTCTTATGATTTAGAAACTCTCTTTGGCAATGAATAATGCACGTTCCACCATACACGGTAGTTTATACGATTTCTTAAGTGAGGCGAAGCAACGTACAAAACCACAACAAAATTTAGAGAGCAGAGTGATAAGTACGGCTAATTCACTTTCGCAGCGTCGAAAGAGTTTCAGTAACGAGTCATATCAGAAGATCTCACCCATTATACCAAAGAATTTTAATTTTGTAATTAAAGCAGCTACATTTTCGGCAGTGAAAGAGAATTCCCAAAATGATTTTAGCGCAAAAATTCAATTGTTCAGTGTAAGTGTGAAATTAATGATTAGTTTTGAGTGCTATATATTATATTTATGTATCTGCTACACACTTGCTTAGATTACTGGGAAATTCAATTCTAAATCACTGAATGAAAATGCGCCGCTTCCAACATTGTTTACCAAAGTGTTGCTAGAGCATTTGGACATTGATACCAAATACGAAAAGTTACTATTTGTTGAACAATTTACTATTGATTCCGTGGTGAGTATAATTTAACTATCACACAATAAAGTTTGTAAACTAAATTGCCTTAACGATTTCTTCTTAGCTGGAAAACGATGTTCTAAATTTATATGTCATGCTTAAAACATTCCAAATAATATATAATCATTGTGAAATCTACGATTGGGTACACAATAACTTTTTATCGCGTCAGCGTATAAGTCAACAGCCATTACAGTTGAATGCAATGAAACGCTCGTTACCCGAACATTTAGGTGCGGACACATTTTATGCTACAGCCAACGACAAAATACTGGATCCGTTGCTTATAACGTCCAAACCGTCCAATAATGGCATACTTGAGGGTATATTAAAGCGCATAGTGGTTAAAGGTATGAATTGGCATACAAAAAAGCGATCAAAATACAGTTGTTGTATGAAAAACTTGTTTTGACAAAATAACTTCCCAAAATTTGCAATAGAAAATTGTTCAAGACAACGCTATAATTTTTGAATAAATGTTACGGTTCGGACTACTATAGCATTTAGCTGCCATACAAATTAACTCTATGGAAACTTGTGATTTGTGAAGAATATTCTCGCAACATAATTTAACGTGTTGCCTTGTTTTCTTTTTATTTAGGCTGTGCCGAGTTCTGGAACGTTTCTGTGCTCATGAAGTTGGACGATGAAAACGCTGCTATGAGCGTTAGTCATACCAGATTCCTATTGGAACAAACCGAAGAGAAGCGTAGCTCCTTATATGGCAATCGACTTTTAAATTTACTCTTGAATCAACGTCATTGGAGCACCGAATTAATGATTGAATCATTATGGTGGTCCTTGGGGAATTCCACAAATGACACCAACAATTTGAAGAAATCACATTCTCCAGGCTCGCCATTCTTTCTCGGACTCAGCTTGGTAAAATTGAGTTCGTACGCAAGTGTCACGAAACTAGAGGTGTCCATACACACGCTACGCACCGAATATAGCATGAGTCTTGCTGAATTTATAGTGAAGTCTGTCAATTGTATAAAACAGTATGGTGGTCTCAATTCCAACGAAAGTGGCATTGGCAAGCGTGTGTCACGTGTTCCAAACACCGGCACAAATTCCATTTCTGGTGGTTTACTAATATCAGCACGCATTAAGGATATCACAGCATATTTTATTAATCATCATCAGGCTTGTCTGCTCCTAAGCTTCTCAGATATATCGCTATCGCGCAAGCAACAGGTGTCCAGCTTCAAATTTGAGGACTTTCAAATGGCCATTATGCGTTCCATGAATGCGTCATCGCTATGCCTCAACGACTTCACCGACATATTCGCTAGTTGTAAAACAATACGCATTGAGCATGAAAAAAGCGAAAATAAAGTGTCAGTCTACATTCCAAGTAATACGGAAGCCATGTGGAACGCGAATTTGCACATGCACATACTGACTTTGGCACGTGACATGAGCGATTTGCGCATCGAGCTGGCTTTGCCGCAACACACGGCGGAAATAAAGCCAACGCATACTAAGATAAAGTGGATCATCGAACTGTCCGCTGAATTGAGCACGGTATTCGAGATTAAACTCTCCGAACGGCATACGATGCAATGGTTTGTGGAGAACTTATTCTTCAGTCACAAAGAAGCGAATTTCATTTCTGCGGAGAATCTTTTCATCAAAATCGATGACCAGCACATATTCACATTGAAGGAAATCGACGTGCAATCGCTACCACGCTTGGATATGCTCACGCAGGAGCGCGTGAATTGCGAAGGCTTTGTGCTGCCCACAAACAAAGTGTGGGTAACAACAATTGGCGCCTTCAAGGTATGGTTGCGGTTAAAAAATGCTAATTTGAGAGTGAAAGTTTAACAATATTTATTTTTATTTGCAGGCCATCTTTCCCTACGATCACGATTTTTATGATGCGGTGCAGAATGAGTTCGTGTCGCATTTTAAGTGGCTGAAATTGGTGCATAACTATAAGAAGAAGCCGTTTACAGCTAGCTCACCGCTCCCAAGCGATATGGTCATACAGGTAAATTTAAAATTTTATATACATATTATTTTAGATATTTAGTTTAAACAATCACTTGTTTTTACTTGTCAAAAGATCCTATAAAGTATATAGTATATATAGTTCATCACGTTTGAGATATCGATCTGAAATTGTGCACATGTCCTTTTCTCTCCAAGCACCGACTCATTTGTCGGAATGGCCGATATCGGGCCGATATAGTAAATAACTGCATTCAAACTGACTGCTGAAAATCCAATTCTTATATAATGAATACATTTATTTCACAAGTTATCTTTACGAAATTTAGCACATACTATTTTCTAATGCAATGCTACAATCTCCGAATATATTGTTCGGATCGGACTACTATAGCTTATAGCTGTCATATAAACTGTTCGTTCAAAATAAAGTTCTTGTATGGAAAAGTTGTTTATTTGACATGATATCTTTGTGCAATTTGGCATGGTTTATTGTCCAAGGCAGGGTTGCAATCTCCTAATGTATTGCTCGTATCGCACCACTATGGCTAATGGCTGCCATACAAAGTTAACAATCAAAAGCAAGATGGAAATGTTTTTATACCCTTTTATGCTGTAATAAATGCGTCTGTGGAGGGTATTATATCTTCAATGCAGCACAAGTTAGCGGGTTTTGTTTCTTTAATTTTTTTTCCTAATTATTTTATATTTTCCAATTTTTTTATATATTTAATTTTTTGTATATATGATTTTATTTTATATATGTATATAAATTAATTATAAATTATATGTATGCATATATAAATTAATTATTATATAATTAATTAATTTTTATTTTTTAAGATCAAAGAATTTCTGCTCGAAATCAGCGACGATCCGTTTGAGGTGAAATTGCGTGACAATTATGTGCTGCTTGTGGATGAATATCTAGAGGGCCTCAAACGCAAGGCTATATTCGATAGGAAAAT